GCCGGCTTCAAGTTCCTGATGAAGGGCATTGCTGCCGACATGCCTCATCTTCAGATCGATCTCGGCGATCTCAAGAAGAAGTATTCTGAGAAGTGGGCTTCTGGGCCTAATGGTACTCATGGCCCCCAATCCCTGGTGGACAAGTACGTCAGGGAGCTGGACTCTGACTACTCCGACATGGAGGGAGAGGATGCCCCAAGCCAAGAGCCAACCGAGGTCGGCACAACTCAAGAGGAGGCTCCTTCAGAGCAGGGTGGATCCCAGGAGGTCAACCTTCTGGGCTCCCAGGGCGAGCTGTCCTCCCACCTCGGAAGTAGCTGATGCTCTTTTTCCTTCTCTCTTTCTATTTCTTTTGTAAGTCCTTGGGCAGAGCTGCAAGGTATATAAGCCTTGGCTCTGTCCCTTTAATCAATGAAACTTCTATTTCTCCATTTTTGTCTGTTCTTTTACTGCTTTTTCCTTTAAGAATCTTTTTAAACTTGCTTTTGTAAGTCGGAACTTATGAATGAACAAACTCATCTCGCACCTCTAACTCATAAGTTTAAAGGATTGCAAGATAACTCTTTTCACATCACACCTCTTTCCTAAGGTTTGAATTTGAGAGTTTATTTTCTTAATCTTTTGATATTTCTCCTCGAACTCGGAAGTCCGAAAGATAATCTTGTGCAATTTGAACTTTCTACGTCGTACCTCGAACCCGTGGGTTTAAATGATTGACTTTCCTGAACCTTCAACATCGCACCTTTAACTTAAGCGTTCAAAGGATTGAATTTTGGCTCGTAATTGATTTTGACATCGTACCTCGAACCCGTGGGTTTTGAGGATCGAATTTGATCAATTTTAAGTCTTATGGGAGTCCGCAGCCCCCATTTAATTTCTGATCGAACTCGGAGTTATGAAATTAAATCACTCCATTTATTAAAAGTTCCGCCCCTTGAAAATTTTTACAAGCCCCTTTTAGGATTATTTTGACATTTCAGGGGTAATAGCGCTTCAATTGCTCCGCGTTCCATGGATGCGCAAGCATTTTTCCCTCCAGATCGGCCATCATATAAGTTCCAGGTCGGACTATGCCTTTAACTTCGAATGGTCCCTCCCAACTTGGGTCGAGGGTGCCAACATGACTCTGAATTTTTCTTAAGACCAAATGTCCAACCTGGAAGCTTCGAGGTCGAACCCGAGCATTGTAATGTCTGGTCATTCTGTTCTGATACTCTGCTAAGCGCAGCTAAGCCAATTCCCTTTTTTCTTCCAATAAGTCCAGGTTAAGGAGTAGCTCTTCTTCGTTCTTTGTTGGCTCGTACTGTTCTACCCTGTCTGTTGGTATGCCGATCTCTACTGGTACCATGGCTTCGGAGCCAAAGGCTAGCGAGAACGGAGTTTCACCAGTTGACTCCCTTAGGGTGGTTCGATATGACCACAGAACTTCAGGTAGCTCCTCGGCCCATCTTCCCTTTCTGGAGTCCAACCTTAGCTTGAGTCCTCGCTTTATGATCTTGTTTACTGCTTCAACCTGCCCATTCGCTTTTGGATGCGCAGGGGACGAGCTGAGGTGGGTTATACCCAGTTTTCTGCAGAAGTCCTTGAACTTTGCATTGTCAAACTGTTTTCCGTTGTCTGTCACGATAGCATTTGGTATGCCAAAGCGGCACACAATGTTTGTCCATATGAACGACGTGACCCTGGACTCTGTGATGTGGGATAGTGCCTCGGATTCGGCCTAGTTAGTGTAGTAGTCCACAGCGACAACGACGAACTTTGTTTGTCCTTTGCTCAGAGGAAAAGGTCATATGATGTCTACCCCCCACTGCACAAATGGCCAAGGGGCCGAAATGAGGGTGAGCAGTTCGGGAGGTTGATGGATAATGTTTGCGAAACGCTGGCAGTTGTCACAAGCTTTCACAAACTGCTTTGCATCCTGCTCGACACTGGGCCAATAGTACCCTTGTCGAACCACCTTGGCCGACAA